AGAGAAATAGTTTTTTTAAATAAAAAATGAAATTTCTTTAAATAAAAATCTCCAAAAATGCCTAAAATACCCTCACTTAAACCCCTAAACCCTCATAACCTCTCCCAACCGCCCCCCACTCTCATCTCACGATCGTTTCCACGCCAAGGAGCCGCCCACTCTCCCTCTCTTGCGATCCAAGCCGCCGGCCTCCAAGTTTTCTCTCTCCAAGGTAAAATCTCTCCTTCTTCTTCTTCCTCCATTCTTCTTCTTCCTTCCTTCTTCTTCTTCTCTCCCATTTTTCTTTCTACTTCATCTTCCCTCCACATTTGTCATCATTTCCTTCCATTTTCTTCCTCTCCTCTCTACCCTTTCCTCTCCTTCATCTTCTTCCTCCAACCTTATTTTCTCTAAACCTACACCAACCTTAAACCCTAATTTTTCATATCTCCACATCCACTCATTAAACCACCCACCACCCTTCACAAAAAATATTTTCCTACACCTTCTATACCCTCCCAATAAAAAAAATCTATCATCCCTCATTTTCTCTATCTAACCTAGAGAGAGAAAATTTTCTCTCTAGAATGAGAGTAAAATCTCTTCATGTATGGCTCTATTTCCACCCCAAGTATCTCTCCTCTCCACCATGCATCCAAATTCCTTTCTTAGAGAGAAAAAATACCTTCTCTCTTTCTCTCTCTAAAAATTAGAGAAATAGAGATTTTCTCTCTCTAACCTCACTCTAAGCCTCTTCCACCAAAAAACCCCATCAAATCCTCTCTTTTCCTCTATTTCCCCCTCTCTCTCTCTAGAAAGAGAGCTCTCTTCCCCTTTTTCTCTCTTTACACTTTGTTTAAATAAAAGAAAGGCATATATGATTAATTTTATTGCACAAATAATAATAAAAAAATTTAAATTGTGCATCGCAGATTTCTCACCGTCGCCGTCATTCGCTGTCGCCGCCTAGATTACTGCACACCCAAGGTAAAAAAGCTTGATACTAGTATTTTACATTTCTATGCATGAAATAAATACTCGTGATCGCTTTTGTTAGCGAGCAAGGAAACTTAATTACTCGTGACCGCTCTGAGCGAGCGGAAAAATTCGTATGCTTGAAATATAAGTACCCGTGACCGCTTTTTTTAGCGAGCGGGGAAATTTATTATTTGTAAAAAAAATTGTTTAATTAAGTACCCGTCACTGCTTTTAGGCGGGAAAAATGCTATGCTTTAAATATGTGCTCAAAGACCCCGTGACCGCTTTTGTTAGCGATCGGGGATTGAAACTGCGGCCGCGGCCGCGGTGACACCTGTCACCTACCGTGACTGCCTTTCTTGGCAGGCGGGAAGGCTTTACACCTCCGATGCAACCCCCTACGAGAGGACGATGCCAGAGTACTGCCGAAACTTTTAGCAAAACCCGTGACTTAAAAAATTTCAAAGAAAATAAAAATCCATCTAAAAGTTTTAAGTCGAAAAAAAAAATACACGGCACCCTAGGCTCCCAACACTGAAAACAAATACAAAAGGAAATTCATATCATAATATGATGCAACTTACACCAAATTCGTAGGGGAATCAGTTGTCACCAGCAAGTAGGAGCCAAATCTTTTCCTCCTAACTCTTGACTTGCGCACACCTAAACCCCGTAGCAACACTCCTCACTAAAGCTCTTTGCAGAAATGAAGTGTGAAGGAATGAGCTTAGCCTCTATATTTATGGATTCACATTATTCGCGGGCCCCACAAGCCTAGGGTCCCTTTGCTAAATGACGTAGAGGATACACCTGAGGGCCCCATCTACTTAGGATCCTAAGATGCCATTTCGAGGCTCTGGCATTAGATTCCTAGAGTATTCACTAGCATGTGAAATACGAAAGTAAATACGAGTTTAAATACAAGTAAATCCGGCTGATAATTATCTTAAAAAATGAGGGGGGTAAAAGTAAAAGTAAAAAAATTTTATCTTTCCGACGAGATGCATTTGTGATTATCGTAAACACGTAGGAATCCTCGCACATCCTCGGTAATTTTGTGGTTGAACCCTTGTGAAAAAAAATGTGTCCGTCACATTGCAAGTCCGGGTGCTCTAACTAGGGTGCGCGCCAGCTATTAAAGTTAGGCGGCTCGTACAGCCCGTGAACATGTCTTCAAAAAGAAACAAAGTAGCGCACTCTTATGTGTCACGGGTTGTACGACCCCTGATTAAAGTAGGCACATTACCACTGGAAAGTTTGTCGCCTACGAGCAAAAGCAGAAGATTAGTTAGTGTACTACAATCTACATCCGTAAATCATGTAAGTAGTACACGACAATCTACCTGTGTAAAGCAACGAACAACTCAATCCAGAAGCTGTATAACCCGCCATCGGATCTGCAACACTCGTACCCGGTACTAAGCCCAATGTGGGTGCGCACACTAGTTAGAGCACCCGTAACTTGCAATGTGATGGACACTTTTTTTCACAAGGGTTCAACCAGAAAATTATCGAGGATGTGCAAGGATTCCTATGTGTTTACGATGATCATAAAAGCATCTCTTAGGAAATATTTTTTTTTTTACTTTTACTTTTACTTTACCCCCTCCTTTTTTAAGATAATTACCAGCCGTATTCACTTGTATTTAAACTCGTATTTACTTTCATATTTCACATGCTAGTGAATACTCTAGAAATCCAATGCCAGAGCCTCAAAATGGCATCTTAGGATCCTAAGTACATGGAGCCCGCAGGTGTACCCTCTCCGTCCTTTAGCAAAGGGACTCTAGGCTGGTGGGGCCCGCGAATAATGTGAATCCAATATTATAAATATGAAAGAGGCTAAGCTCATTCCTTCACACTTTATTTCTGCAAAGAGCTTTAGTGAGGAGTGTTGCTACGGGTTTAGGTGTGCGCAAGTCAAGAGTTAGGAGGAAAAGATTTAGCTCCTACTTGCTGGTGACAACTGATTCCCCTACGAATTTGGTATAAATTGCATCATATTATGATATGAATTTTCTTTTGTATTTGTTTTCAGTGTTGGAAGTCTAGGGAGTCGTGTATTTTTTTTCGACTTAAAACTTTTAGGTGTATTTTGATTTTCTTTGAAATTTTCTAAGTCACGAGTTTTGCTGAAAGTTTCCACAATACTCCGAAGTCGTCCCCTCGTAGGGGGCTGCATCAGAGGTGTAAAGCCTTCCAGCCTGCCAAGAAAGACAATCACGGTAGGTGTTAGGTGACACCGAAGCCGCAGTTTCAATCCCCGCTCACTAACAAAAGCGATCACGGAGTCTTTGAGCACATAATTAAAGAATAGCATTTTTCCCGCCTAAAAGCAGTGACGGGTACTTAATTAAATAATTTTTTTACAAATAACAAATTTTCTCGCTCGCTAAAAAAAGCAGTCACTGGTACTTATATTTCATGCATACGAATTTACCCGCTCGCTCAGAGCGGTCACGGGTACTTAAGTTTCTTTGCTCGCTAACAAAAGCGGTCACTAGTACTTATTTCATTCATATAAATGTCAAAATACTAGTGTCGGACTTTTTTACCTTGTGTGTGCAGTAATCGATGCGGCGATGGCGAATGACGGTGATGGTGAGAAACCTACGATGCACAATTTAAATTTTTTTTATTATTGTTTGTGCAATAAAATTAATCATATATGTCTTTCCTTTATTTAAAACAAAGTGGAGAAAGAAAAAAAAAAGAGGAAAAGAGCTCTCTTTCTAGAAAGAGAAAGAAAGGGAAAGAGAGGATTTGATGGGTCTTTTTGGTGGAAGACGCTTAGGGTGTGTAGGAGATTGTGGGAGTGAGGTTAGAGAGAGAAAATATCTCTTTCTCTAATTTTTGGAGAGAGAAAGAGAGAAGGGAATTTTTTTTCTCTTTAGGAAAGGAATTTGGAGACATGGTGGAGAGGAGAGATGCTTGGAGTGGAAATAGAGCCATATATGAAGAGATTTCACTCTCATTTTTGAGAGAAAATTTTCTCTCTCTAGGTTAGAGAGAGAAAATGATGGATGGTGGATTTTTTTATTGGGAGGGTGTAGAAGGTGTAGGGAAATGTTTTTTGTGAAGGGTGGTGGGTGATTTAGTGAGTGGATGTAGAGATATGAAAAATTAGAGTTTAGGGTTGGTGTAGGTTTAGAGAAAATGAGGTTGGGGGAAGAAGAAGAAGATGAAGGAGAGGAAAGGGAAGAGATGAGAAGAAGAAAATGGAAGGAAATGATGAGAAATATGGAGAGAAGATGAAGTAGAAAGAAAAATGGGAGAGAATAAGAAGAAAGAAGGAAGAAGAAGAAGAGGGAGAAGAAGAATGGAGGAGGAAGAATAAGAAGAAGAAAAAGAAGAAGGAGAATGAGAGATTTTACCTTGGAGAGCTTGGAGGGAGAAAACTTGGAGGCCGGCGGTTGGATCGCAAGAGAGGTAGAGTGGGCGGCTCCTTGGCGTGGAAACAATCGTGAGATGGGAGTGGGGGGTGGTTGGAAGAGGATATGAGGGTTTAGGGGTTTAAGTGAGGGTATTTTAGGCATTTTTGGAGATTTTTATTTAAAAAATTTTCATTTTTTATTTAAAAAAACTCTCCCTCTCTTTCTAAAAATTTTAAATTATATTGCACAAAATTAAAAAAAAAATTAATCTTGTATCAAGTTAGTTGTCGCGTCGCCGCTCGCACACGTTGTCGCCTCGATCCGCACGCCCAAAATTTAAATTTTCACCGACCGTCGAACCCCATCAATATAGGTGTCGATCTTAGTTGTTTATGTTGCTCCGGATGCATCGGTGCTGTCCGTTTCGCGAACGGAGGTAATCTCGATGATTTTGGGTTTTCGGTCGACACGCGTCGGATAAATTTTTGCGCGATTTCGAGCTCTTTTGCTTTTGAAACCCACCTTGCGCGGTCAACTCGATCCCGACACTAGTATTAGAGTCAACAGAGAGTAATTTCCCTAAGACGGTACTACAAAGCTTAATTGCCATAGCATGCAGCTTAATAATGAGGAAATTTTAAAATAAATATGTTCTGAGGATACACTCACAAGTGAGGACTGAACATCATCAGATAAGCAAATACTGAAACCAACACAACTGGATGATGGAATGTCAACTGACTCTGATCTATCAATTTTGACTTTACATCTCCGACTGGAACAAGGAGTAACATTCTTTTCATCCTCATCAAAAAAGGTGTCATCAGCAATGCCTGAACAGTTAGAGAAACAATTTCAGATGAAAAACCATCAATCTAGGAACAGCTGAATGTTCCGTATCTCAACTGAAAAACAGGAAATTTAAATAAGGAAGAAACAAATCACCAGATTGACAATCACTTCCTTTAACAATTTCAGGATAACTTTTGTATTTGCACTCATGAACTTTGTTACAGCTCTGAAGCCCACTTTCAGCTATTGTAGAACTTCCTAAAAGATGGCATTTTCATGAGAATGCTTGAAATTTGTGGAGAGAAACTATGTGTGCGTGTGAATGAATTATTACTTGACATGTTCAGCAAATTAGGTTTTCATTCCCGAAACCAATTTGAATCTTATGTAAAGTTTGCAAATTTATTTACATAAGAACAGCATATTTGCCTTTTTGAGAGAAAGGCAAACATCATTTTTCATATATCTTGCATGATCTAGGATTATCGGATTTGAAGGAGGAAATAGATGGATATTTGAGATGAATTATCATAAGTTTGAAAATTCTGAAATAAACTAATTGACGTACATATCAGTAACAATTTAGGTCAACATCAACTTGTTTCCTTTTATCTCAAACGAAGCTTAATACAATATCATTTAAGCAATTAAAAAGGCTATGTTCCCAGTAAAAGAATTTTGTTTAGAAAACTTGGTATAAGAGAAGCATTTCTTTTCTGAATTGGAAGCATCATAATTAAGATTTTGTATCCCAAGTCACCTGTGGTCTGAGAAACTCCATATTCTTCACTGATTATCATCAAATTTTCCATCTTATCAATGGTGTGGTTTAATATGGGGTTGGAGGAAACCGCTGAGATATTTTGACATGGTACACTAGTTTCTAAGTCAAAGCTCCCATGAAAATTTCCGCATAAAGGTTCTTCCAGTTCATTTGCATTGAAGCTAGCTCCAGTTGCAAGTTCTATTAATTTTTCATCAAGAGTAGGGTGGCATATTGCATCGGCTGAGAGAAAAACCATCTCAGAAATTTCCTCAGGTTTAATCAGATTCAACTCCATTTTAGGACTGCATTCCGCATGTTCGAGATTAGATAGAGAAGCAATTTTCATATAATTTGACTCACTGTCCAGCATTTCAAGGTCATGTGAAAGGCCTTGCTCTGTCTTTCCATTGTTTATGATAGCATCATGCTCTTTCTTCATCTGCACTTGCGAACCACTATCTATCTCAGAAATTACCTCAGGTTTAATCAGATTAAACTCCATTTTAGGACTGCATTCTGCATGTTTGAGATTAGATAGAGAAGCCATTTTCATATCAGGTGGCTCCCTGTCCAGCATTTCAAGGTCATGTGAAAGGCCTTGTTCTGTCTTTCCATTGTTTCTGATATCATCATCCTCTTTGTTCATCTGCACTTGCGAACCACTAATTTCAGCTGACCACTCTTTATTATCAGAATGACCTTTAACAGCCCAGGTAGAAGTTTTAGTCATGGCATCGGGTTCTTCGGCTGTCTGTTTCGATGGCAGAACTCCACCAATATCTCGAAAAGCAGCTCCGTTCTCTGATGTGCTCATCCTGTTTATGATGCTTTTGCTTGAAACTGCTTCAATGTTCTCTAAGTCCGAATTTGCAAGATCAGAAGGAGATTTTATGTTTAGTTCCCCAACTGTAGCATCGCTATTTTTATGCCATGTTTGTTCAGAATCAAGAAGTGCATTCTCTGATTCTTTGGAGTTTGAATCATAAAGAGGTTTCTCACCTGCACTTGAAAGTTCTAGAACTCCTTCAGAGATAGAATCACTTTCAATTACATGAACCTTAGGGAAATCACACTTAACAGCTTTTTGTTTCCGCTTTAAACTTCTCTGAACTTCAGTGCCGAATGGGCTATGTTGCTCTTCTGAAGGTTGAGCAGTTTTTTTCCTTTTAGAGGTTCTAACATTACCAGGTTTTAATTCAGTAATGCATCTTTCTTTTGCGATGCCTCTTCTTCTTTTCACTTTAAAGTTCACTCTCTCCAAGGCGTTAGTCCCAAATATTCGTGCAGCAAATATCAATCCACCAGTGTAAGTAAACAAAACAAACTCCCCCACTGTTATACAATGATCTGAGACAAAATCACACCATCCATTTTGAAAAGCCAATGAACCATCTACCATTGACATCTTAACATTCCAATACTTTCCAAAAGCATCTTCAATATAGACATACTTCTTAGCCAATCCTTTCAAAGTGCAAGCCGCCATGGGTGGAATAAACTGCACAGATAAATGAATCAGACCAATTTTAAAAAACAAACATCCCCACTCGTAGCCGGACACGAATTCAATATATTATTTCAAATTACCGTGGATATTTTTATCAAGCCTTAAGCATTAAAAATATCAGTGCTCACAAGCTATACAAATAACAGCAAAAATGGTGCAAATCAAGAAAAAAGAAGCAAACTATTGGATTCAAAAATGTTGGTGGATGATACAAAAAGCTTACTCACATGATCAACGAGAGAAAGAAAAAATATCAGAGAGAGAAAAAAGAGAGAATCTAAAGAGAAGCTCTACAATTTCACTAGAATGAGAGAAATTAGCAGGAGTACAAGAAATCTCTTGCTTCCTGCTCCCCCCCTTAATCCCGTGTTCATAATTTTGGATCAGTTCAGTACTATAGAAAAAAAAAAGACAAACATTTCAAGCGCTATAATTTCAGTTTCCTTCCCTACTACTCCCACAGTATTCATTCAAAGCATACGCATCATCCAAATGACTTCATGAGAGGAGAAACAGAACCTGAAAAGTGAAAACATCAAAATCCTATCTCTGTGTGGCAATAATAGAAATCATTAAAAATATTGAAGAGGCAATGGTTCGATGGAAATAACAACAAATAAATAAATTTGAAGTGGAAAGAAGTGCAAGAGAAGAGGATCACGCATACCAAAACATCTTTGAAATCCCCTAACAGAACCTTGAAGAATGATAACGGGCATGTATTAAGAGGCGGCGGCGACCGAGAACTAGGTTTCCTCCCACGTTTCTTCATCAAGGTCGCCGCAGATAATTCTAAGGATGCTTGCATGTTAATCTGCGTCCCTCTAGCGACCACCTTCGCTTCCGATGATATTCCTTCACCTTAAACCCTAGAAAAACCGTAACAGAGCCTTACACAAAACCCCAACTTGGCATAAACCTTTTCCTCTATTTACTACGATCGAGGAAAATGCTCCGTTTTTCTGTCTGTAGTCAAGATTCCCACCACCTTGCTCTTTCATCAGCGTCTGCCATGGCAGCTCTTCCCACTGCGGAACTCAACTCAAAAGCACCAAAACTTTGGCATTCATCCATAGAAACAAATTGTGACAGTATTTCGGTATTGCCTAAAAGTCTGTTTGCAGCCAGCAAGATGATTTAACTTAAATAGGATTTACTAAATTTAAATTTATTTATTAAATTCTAAAAACTATTTGATATAAAATTAATTAAGGAACTGTTTGATTTGAAATAAAAAATGCCTAAAATATTTTAAATATAAAATTTGAAGAATATTATTATTTAGTTTGAAGTAAATCAAATGCACTTTAAAGTTTTTTTTGTATTTGTAATTCTTCATTTAGTTCATTATTTTATGTATTTAAAATTTTATAATTGAGATGATTTTCAAATACATTGAACATTAATTATCTCCTGCACTACAATAGGGCACACCACGAACCGGTGCCGCCACCTGTCACCGTTCGTCGAGGATAAGCACCGCCTTTTTTACACTCATCTAAACAACTCAAAAATATTTTAAATAAATTACATTCTATTTCTTTTTAGCAAATCAAACTCCCACTAAATTAGGTTAAGTTTTAATAAATTATTCGACTATTTACATAGAATTTAAATCTAAATAAAATTTTAATAATTATCTTTAATAATGAAGTTAAAATATTTAATCTCATTAATCATAATCATACAACAACAACAACAACATCAAGCCTTTATCCCACTACGTGGGGTCGGCTACATGAATCCTTTTTCTCCATTGTGTCCTATTAAAAGTCAAATTCTCGTTTTAATCATAATCATAATTGATTTAAATAACATTTCAATTACTTATTAAACTAATGTAATTAATTATAAAAAATTAAAATGGTTTTTAATTAAATCATAAACTACTTTTTATTGCTATTTGAATTAATTATTATTATTCATTTATTTTTATTTAGCTTATTTATATATAAATCTTTATAATTAATATTGTTGAGTCCTGGAATATTCGCAACCATAGAGAAATATAAATTTTAACGACTTAACTTTGTATGAAGATCTAACACACAATCAGATAAAAGAGATGGTGTAGTGCTCATAAGAGACACCATATTTTTTACGTGGAAACTCCTGAAATGGGGAAAAACCATGGGGTCTGACCTACTTTGAATATATTCACTAGTGTTTGCAATCAATTACTAATGAGGCCTTTTGTTGAGGGAAGGCCTTGGTTTGATGTAGTAACTATACATCATAAAAATTGTTAGTTGGCGTCGGAGGTTGGAAGGATCGTAGTCGATGGGAGATGAAGGCTGGAAAGACTGTTGTCTTGTAACGGTGGTCGGAAGAATCATAATCGGTGGGAAATAGAGATCGAAATGATCGTAGGCGGGGAACATTGGTCAAAAAGAAAATTATCTGAAGATTGAGGTAGGAAGAAACATACTCGGCTGGCAAAGGTGGTCATAAAGATCATTATCGGCAGGCGATAGTGCTAAGAAAGACGGTGGTTGGGTGACAATGGTCGGAAGGACAGTAGTCGGTGGGCGACATAGGTTGGAAAAACTGTTATTAGGCGATGGAGGTCGGAAGAACCATAGTTAGCGGGTGGTGGAGGCTGGAAATACCGTTGTCTTACGACGGATGTCAAAAAGGACCGTAATCGACGGATAATAGTGGTCTAAAAGATCATTGTCTGTCAATGGAGGTTGGAATGACAGTAGTTGGTGAGCGATGGTAGTCAAAATGACTGTAGTCAACTGGCGATAGTGGTCAAAAAGATCGTTATCTGACGACGAAGGTCGGAATGACCCTAGTTGGCTGACGACGAAGGTCAGAAGAACCATAATTAACAATTGGGTGGAAGTCTGCGCCAGTCGATAGCAAGCCAAAAGTCTGACATGGCTGGGTGTAAGTCCAAGAATAATTGAAAGTTGGGTGGAAGTCCAAACGTCAATTGGTTGTCAGACAAAAGTCCGGCGTCAATTGTGTGGCCGGGTGAAACTTCGGTAATAGTCTGACTACGATCGGTGGTTTGATAGTGGTTGAGGAGGAGTCTAGTGACAAGAGAGCTCTAATTTCTTTTTCTTCCTTCTATCCATTCTCTTCCTTTCTTATGTCCCCTTTCCATGAGGAATGAGGGGTACATTTATAATTTTTTAAGAGTGGCATAACCAGCAAATATGAGGAAGATCAATGATAAGTTGTAAAAATTTGGAGATATTAGGCATGTTGGATTCATCTCATCAAGCTGCTCGATTCGACTATAAGCATTGAACGTTTGGAAATTGTTTGGTCATCCAATTTATTATTTGATCCTTCAATGCACTTCAGATCTTCAATTTGGTCCCAATTGGGCTCTAATTGAGTCGAATTTGATGACGTTGCATTCATCTTTTCGAGACATTCAGTTCCACTATAAGTTTGATGAGATCGGAGTTCATATGGCTCTGAATTTAATTTTAGAAGCTTATAACTTGATATTCGTCTCCAACCAAGATAAATTTTTGATGATATATCAAATATATTTATAATTAATTAAATAATTAAAAGGTAAATAGTCTAACGTAAATAATTCTATAAGATACTCTAGAATTCCCAATCTAGTAGCTTGAAGCCTTAGGCTCCTCAAAAATTGTTAAAATCCTGCTATCCAACAACCCCTTAATTTTTGCCAAGCTCACTTAGGTCCAAGCAGGAAGCCTACAAAATTTAATATTTAAAATTAATAATTTTAAACGTAGAAATATTTTATAATTTTTTTATTAAAAGTATATAATAAATAATTAAGTATATGTTTCTGAGCGGATCGAAATTCGAATTGATTAAGAAGGGAAAATGGTTTGTGAACAATAGCTGATAGATTTTATTAATTATTCTTATCATGGATTTGTTCTGTGACCATTTGTTGGACATTTTTTAGACTGCTCAATTCGATTTGCGTAGCAATGCCCATCCACAGCTAAGGGTGCAAATGAGTAAAGATGACTCGCGAGTCTGCTCTAGTTTGACTCTTTAATGAGCTTGCGAGCCAAACTTATTAAATTTCAAGCTCGAGCTTGTTAGATTATCGAGCTTGAGTTTGATCGGGATGAAGCTCGACTCGATTACTCGTCGAGCAGCTTGAGTGTGAAAGGCGGAAGTGCGGGCGTGGTCGCTTAGAAGCGCGAATGCGGAAGCAGGATCAGAGCGAGAAGAGCACTATAGGAAAACATGACGTTACCGGCGGACTGTATCCGCCGGTAAGATGTGAAATCCGATAGAAATCCTCAGTTTCCGACGTAGTTCCGTCGGACTTTCCTCCGCCGGTTTGGCTCGCGTCGATAAATATGTACCGACGTTTATATTCCGCCGGTAACAATTCCGATGCACGTTCCGGCGCATTACCGGCGCAAAATACGACATGCTCGAGCACGCCTCGTGAGTTACTCGCGAGCTTGCTTTCATCGCGACAAGCCGTGCTCGAGTAGGTCATTTGAGCTCGAGCTCACGTCTGGCCGACGAGCCTAGCTTGAGTTAAGCATGATTCAAGCTCGACTTGACTCGACTCATTTGCAGCCATATCCACAACACATAGGCTTCCTTTGAGACAAATTTTTATCACTATTTTTTAAAAAAGCTTGTGCTAAAAAATTGTTATAAGAAGTTATAAAAGAACAATCACAAACGAAACTAAAGAGTGTCAATGATTAGTTTTCATAATAAAATAAAATAACATTTGAATATTACCACTTGTATGACATCAATATTTTTTTTAATATATTATATTTGTGCTTTTAAATTATTTTTTTTATTTTAAATAAATTAATTTTTTAATAGTAAAAAATAAATAAATAATTGTAAGTTGTTTTTGTTATTTCCATGAAGATCACCCGGACCTGTAGCTGCTCGGCCGTCGCCTCCACTGGGCGAATTATTACGTCCGGTCACCGGACGTCTGGACATCCAATCCAGACATGCCACGTCACCCAAATACATCGGGTCCCAGTGTATTTGGGTGACGTGACGCGTCTGGATCAGTGTCCGCACGAATCCGGACACCGGACGTAATAATTTGCCCCTCCACTGTGGCCTTCACCACGGCATAAGGTTGACTGGTTGAGTTAAACAGTCTTATACTCTCGCTTTTTTAGTAATTGAGAACTTAAACCGTTTATCTTGTTCATCCCTTAAGAAAGTCCCCAATAACTCTTTGATCAATCTACACTGACTTTATAGGGGGTCCTTGGTTGTAATAATTTACAAACATTTTAAAGATAGTATAAATTTATTATATTTTAGAAAATTTATGATAATAGAGAGAATTTTACATCCTCATTCTGTAGAAAAAAGAAAATAATATGTGAGACATTTTATTTTTTATGTAGAAGGAGAAAAATAATGAGTCTTGACCCACTTAAAATATTATATAATTTTGAACATGCAGAAGCCCACTCTTCTCTATGAGTAGAGGAGACGAAAAGATTGGAGTATTTGTTTGGTCTAATGAAGTTGCAGTAGAAATTACGGGAGAAGCAACAGAGAAAGGATGACAACAATTTGTTTGGTCTATATGACTACGATGATTGGATAACTACGGTCATGCGATAGTGCTTAGGCGACAATAATCGAACGATAATGATCAGATGATGATGAATGGACTATAATAACCAAATGACAATAGAAAAACAACAATAGTCGAGCAACACTAATTAGGCAACAATAGTTGAACAATAGCAATATAACAGTCGTAGTCAAATGACAACGGTTACTGGTGATTATCGATGTCGAATATAGTACATAGCTCTAGAGTTCTTCAGAGCTATAAGCTCTCCCTAAACATGAAATATTAAGGAATTAGATGTAATGGACACCCAAAAGAAAAGGCAAATAAAGAACAAAAGGTTTGTAGTAGTTCGACAAAATTGTCTACATTCACTATTAAAATCTTCCAGCTTGAAATGCACTAGACCTTAAATGCAGAAGATTACAACAAAACAATGTACAGAACGATCCAAAAGGAAGAGGAGGATTTCATCACCACTTGGAGTTATGATTGAATAAGAGAATATAAACTTCTTTTAGGATACTTTTTAAATATATTTTAAAGCAATTTTTTAGTACAAAATTTCAAAAAAAAATAATGACAAAAATTCATCCAAAACAAAATCACAATTTTACGAGAACTTTAGGTCGAAGCAGGATGTTATGAAGATTAGAAGAGACTTGGCGGTCAAAAAAAGTTCTAGCAGTTGTTAATGGCTTTATATAATCAAGTCTTACATGGTTGAGAGCATTGTGTGAGGCTTCATATTGGGAAAGGAATGCCAAGTACAATAGGATTAATTATTTTGTGCGAACACCGGCGGCGTCCGGAGACGAATGAGAGCATGCTACGTCACTTATTTACTGTATACCGGGTGATGTGACACGCTCTCATTCATCTCCAGACGGTCTGGTGTCCGCACCGAATAATTTCTCATGCAACAGATAATTGAAATGTACAACACCTTGGGCACCAAGAGGTTTGTCATGCTAAGATGCCATGTTCAACAGATGAACTTTTTTTAAGGATATTTAAATCAATTAAGACAAACTCATATACACATCAAATACACATTAGCAGCAAAAACTTTCTACCAACAGACGAAAATGAGTTACACAATAAATCTTCCAAATAGTTGTCCGCATACCTTAAATAATTATCAAGTGCTTGATATTAAATGATATTTAAAAATTTTAAATCATATATTTCTCAATATATGCAAATACAGCTATACAATCATGACAATTACTGGCAAAACTATGATTTCACATGAAAGGTGGTGATTGCTTATAAAAGATTAGGTTTGTTTGGATTTTTTTCAAATTTTTTTTGAAGGCATAAAAAAATAGTTATATAAAATTATTACAAATGAAGCCTTAGAAGGGGCACTCTTTAAAAATCTGAAGAGTACTCTTTTGTTCCACCGCTTAAGGCATCAGCCACGTACTATGAAAGTGCACAACCACCCAAAGAAGAGCAAGAAAAGCAAAACATTTTCTTTTAATACAGTTTCCAAGGCAAGAACCCTAAGCTAATGTATTATTTTTTGTTCAACCAATTGCTGAATCAGTATACCAACTGGAGCCATTTTCTGAGATGGTAACTATTGTTGCATAAATTCAAGTATGTTCCATATGATGACTGTATCTACAAGCAGAGCCAAACTTGCAAATTCCACGGCCATAGTATGTACATATAGGCTTATCCTAGATCAAATGGAAGACAAATAGTGTAAATGCACAATTTCATTCAAAAGTTGCAGAAAAAAAGATTTGTATTCAAAATATGATAATATGAGATGACAAGAATTACATGAAAGTTAGAGATAAATCATTTACTAAAATCAGACATAACTCTAAACTGAGGTTAGTACAATTAGGTTTCATTTGGGACGGTTTTTTTACTGCTTTTTAAAGCAGTTTTTTAATACAAAAAAAAAATTATACTAAAATACTACTTTAAGAGCCTAAGAAAGTCGTCCCAAACGAAGCCGTAGTCAAAAACATAGAATAGTTGTTACTTACGGGTTTCAGTGGCGGGGTCAGTAAACTGCGATTTGATTTGGGATGATGATATCTGCAAGCTGATTTTAACTTGCAGTGTCCAGTTTTCATGAAATACCGGCATTCAGGTTCATTAGGCCTTTGAGGGTATTCATCAAGTTGCTGCGACTTCACACCACCATTCAAATCATAAGCTGTATCCGTATTAGCTAATTCATGCTTTTCTTCATTTTTTTTTATTTCTGGAGGATGCAATGGATTTGTGGCCATCTAGAGAACAAATAAACATAATTTAGCACAGAATGCCAAGACAAAAATTTGTAGCCCCCCACACAACCAAGATAAATTGTAAATTTAGCCCACCCAAGTGAAGTGCTTTTAAAAACATGAACCAATGTGAGGTGCAGTCTATAAGTTAGAGACTTGAATGTAATCTACTTTTAATTAAATGTGAATATGTTATGATTGTAAAACTCGAAAATGTCGAATCGTAGCGTCGCGACGCGTTGCTAACCTTAAAAATCCTGAAAAAAACAGCCTGTTGGATCAAGGGGTAACAACCATAAGGAAATGGATCTGGACTAGAATTAAGAAGTTGGGGTAGTTGGAAATCCTGAGTTCTGCTCTAATTTCAGCATCCATTGTTTTCTTTTGGTTTAGATATAGAAGCATATTATCTTATCTAATCACTGTTCATTAGGTGGTTGCTGTTTGTGTCGCTGTCTCGCTGAGTATAATTAATTATAATTCTAACATTTTTTTTTCTGTGTCAGGTAGGTTCTTTACTAACCTTAAAAATCCACAGCAATGTTAATCAATGACTGGGAGTGTAAGGGTGGGACGTCAAGTTTGTTGTGAACAAAGAAAAGCTGTTGCCTTTTCTCTGATTTCTACTCCAATTGAGGTGGTTGCCACTAAGATTGATATGGGGTATAAAATTTTTGAAATTAAAATAATAGATTATAAAATTTGAAATTAAAATAATAAAATTATAAAAAATTTCAAATTAAAATGAAAAAGTTTTCTTATACCAAAAAAAGGGTGGAGTTCAACACAGAAATGAGGTCAAGTTGAGCAGAGCAAACGAGCATTGAAAGGATGCAAGCAATCATGTACTAAGGTACAAGAAACTTATCAGGAGTTTGGAGCTAATAGTGAAACTGAAAACACATTGAAGTTCACAATTTAAGTAGATCAACTACAACTGTAAGGCCTGAACAAAGAGCAGCAACATTCTATTATGTGTGGGATATGGAGCGAGTTAAGTCATCAAGTTAACGAACAAAATTGGCAGACAAAGATCATGATATCAAGAAGTAAAAGAAGATATGAAGGGAAACAAGTACTAAAGGGGGAGGAAGGGAGGGAGGGTGGGTACTCAAATAGCTTAATACTTCATTCAATCAATAATAATCCTCAACTTAGCTAAAGGCGTCCTATTCATAGAGAAAAAAGTGCTATAAGAAAAGAAAATAATAGATAATATAAAGGAAATGAACCCTAATATAACAAAACTGAAAGAAAAAACATGTCTAAATATTCCCAAAATACAAATTTCTTAAAAAAAATGAAATATTTAATCAAATATGCCGTCAAAGTTGAACGCAAGACAAAATCGAACAACTAACATATAATTATCTCTACACTATCTTAATATTTGCTTAAGGTGCTTGTAAGAAGACTACAATGTAAGCTTATGAAGACGTATCTTCCAAGAACTAAAATGTTAACAAAAAATAAAAGCCCAACAAAAATTTGCAAGCATCCTTCTTTGTCTATGAACTTTGAAGCAACAAACTATCCATTGTAATCTATATGCATTTCTGACAAGCTTCCCATGACTTTCGCCCATTAAGAACTACTTCATGTGGTAAAGTTCAAATCTATACCTAATCCTAAAAATATAAAAATATGTATGAATTATTACAGGGTTTTTTAAGGCCTCAACTTGTTACTAGAAAGACAACAATAAAGGGTATAACATGCCTACCATGTAGTCCACCATTTCCATGTTAATCAATAAAACCTATGATGCACAGACACGGACACGGCGACACGGATACAACACGACACGGACACGGGGCACGTTAAATATTGAAAATATAGGACACGGACACGGGTTGGACACGGTATTATAATTTTTATATTTTAATAATAGTATATAAAAATTAAATAAGTATAATTTTAAAAATAATTTATAAATAATAAGTCATTTAATTATAATTTGTTCTTAAATTGATTAATATTAGGATGTCGAGAGTCGGGCGATGGTGCCATTTATCAGTCATCGAGAGAGGAGATGACAATGCTGTCGAGAGTTGGGCATTGATGTTATGTAGTAAATATTTGGCGTTAATGTTAAGAGAGCATTTATCATCGATGTTGAGAGGTCATTGGTCGTCGATGTTGAGATGGTGTTGGACAAATATAAGATGCCAAGTTATGGGTGTAAAAATTGCTAACATCAAGCTTCAATGTAAAGACGGCGTCTAACTTAGATATGGAGATAATTTTGAAATGTTGATGTTGTAACGACGACAGTCATTGATGTTGAGAAGACATCGGACATTATTGTAAAATCAAAGTTGTAACCCATCAAAGAGAAATGAAAATGAGAATATTCGATGAATGTGCATTAAGTGAGGGCGATTGATTTGGTATTGTGGATAAGAAATAAGAAATTTAGTTTTTATATTTTAAATAAGTAAAAAATTTAAATACAAGAAATTATATTTTTTAAAAAATCATAAAATATTTAAGATATGCATATCCGTCCAATTTGTATTTAATATTTTTTAATCGGCACGTTTTCGGCATGTCCGACACGTGTCTGAGTGTCGGACGCATGTCGTGTCAGATACGGTGTCGGACACTACACGCCTGTTTGAGGAGAAGTGTCGGTGCATCATAGAATAAAACAAGAAGAATCCTTGACCACTTAAACAAGCACAAGTTCGAATGGAAGCACATACCACATTCCTACATAATTTGACAATCAAGAAGAGCTATATTCGTTATGCATGCAAGGAAGTTATAAATTAATATGAACCATAACCTATGATGCACCGACACTTCTCCTCAAAGAGGCGTGCAATGTCCGACAGCGTGTCCGACACGACACTCGTTCGACACTCCTCCGACACGTGTCGAACACGCCGAAAACGTGTCCAATTAAAAAATATTAAATGCAAATTGGACACGCGTGTTCGACACGAGTATCTTAAACATTTTATGATTTTTTTTTAAATATAATTTCTTGTATTTTGCAGGATTTAAACTAAATTTCTTATTTCCTATCCACAATACCAAATCAACGTCCGCACTTAATACCAAATCATCGAATATTCTCATTTTACTTTCTTTTTGGCAGTGAAGGTATTTCATCTCCTCTATCGGTGACTGATAAAATGGCATCGACGCCTGACTCTCAACACCTAAATATAAATTGTTGTTTTTTGAAACTTACCAAAAAAAAAAAAAGCTAATGTAACATGCTCGGTATCGCTAGTACCGCTAGGTACATTTTGTACTAAACATTTTTGTTATAAGCTAAACAAGTTATCATAAAATTGATTTATTATTGCTTGTCATTTTTAAATATAATGTCAATTTAAAATTTATAATAATTATTATTAAAAAATTATTATGCCGTGTCCATGCCGCACCCGTGTCCTATGTTTTTAAAAAATGCCGTGTCCCGTGTCCATGTCGTGTCGTGTCCGTGTCGACGTGTCCGTGTCGGTGCATCATAGACCGTAACATTTATATTTACAACATCATAAAAAATTTGTAACGCTCATGATCAATGATGTCAGTTTTCATTTCACTATCTTTCATTGGGAAGGAAAAACAAAATTTTCCTAGCGACAAGCTTTAGATAAGAAAAACTTTGTTTTTGTTTATGTGAGATGGACTTTTAATCTCCTAAGAGGAGAATGAACATTCTCATAATCAATATAGTACACGCCCCAAAAACGGATGCCTTTTATTAAAGGCCCTTACATTGGTTGATGGAGAAGAAAGCCTCCAATGGCTTATATATTAATAAAGCAATTGATAGGGCAAAAAAAGCAATTCCTACAATTTTCAACAATAGTGATAAATATAAACATTTATTTTAAATTATTGATAAAAAATGGGAAGTGCAACTTCATCGACCTTTACATGCAGTAGCACACATTCTAAATCTTGAATACTTTTTCAGCAACCCTAATATTGTTAGGGATAGAAAAACAGCTGATGGACTATATTCATGCATTAGAAGATTATCTAAAGATGTAGATAAACAAAACAAAATCAATAATGAATTAAGTTTATATATTATGGTGAAAGTCTATTTTGTATCCTCCGGCAATAATACAAAAGACTACCCAATCACTAGGTATCATCGTTTGAATAATACTGTATAAGAAGAGAAACTAAATATTTCATTACTTTCAGCTAATTGGTGATTGATGGTTGGTGTATGGCTAAGGAGCTCCACACTTGCAAAGTTTTGCTATCAAATTCATTAGTCTAACCTATAGTTCATCTGGATGCGGATGCAATTAGAGTATATTAAAAAATATAAGAATTAAAATAGATCATGTGTTGAATTTTTTATGCATGTCTTTAATATAGTAATTGTGTTGATATTTCAAATTGCAACTTCATAACAAAAGAAACAGAATGAATCATATTCACCTCAAAAATTTAGTTTATATAAAATATAATAGAGTATTGATTCGTAAATATAATCATGGTAATGTGATCAACCCTATTTATTAACTAACATAGATGATGCAACTAGGTGGCTAACACAAAATGAATAATGCGTTGAATAAAAAAAGTGAATTCATTGAAGAGAAGAAGATTTGAAATGTCTTTATTGTTACAAAGGCCACTGGTGTTTATAATAAAAGCTACAATATTCAAGATCGATCTAAGGGAAAGAAATGAATCTTCATCTAGGCATGACATTGTTGCTATTGAGAATGAAGATGATATGAGTGATAAAGAGGATTATGAAATACGTGACATTCTTGATGAAGGGAATGGAGCTTTTTTACTTTTGCTGCTGATGATGATGATTCTCAAGAAGATTGGATTAAATTCTTACATAATTCTTAGGCTTAAAAAAGATTATAATATTTTAAATTATGAGAGACTCGGGTGATGATTACTTGGACTTATACATCACTTTGATTTTTATTATCATTATAGTTTATCTTTCAATTTAATGATATTTCATATTAATATATATATTTATAATTATTTGATATCATGCATCATGTTTAAAATGGCAGGTGTCATGCCATGCATTATGCACCAAGACTCCATGGAGAACTTTACGCCATAATGTGACATTTGTCGTCGACAAATATGATAAATTTCAAGTTGGGTGGTTGAAATGGAGGAACGCATTGGGCCTATTGTGTGATAGAAAAGTACCTCTCAAACTTAATGGAATTATAAGATTTTGTAATTCTTTATGGAGTAGAATGTAGGCTATTAAAATAGAATCATAAAATTAAGTGTGGATGAGTGGCTTTACACTTAGAGAGAAAATGGAAAGCGAGTATATACATGAAAAAGTTGGAGTAACTCAAGTGGCAAATATGATTAGAGAAAATCGTCTTAGATGGTTTGGTCACATAAAACGTCAGGCTTCCAATGACCCTCTTAGGAGAGTAGATGTATTAGATCCGACCTATATTAAGAAAGGTAAGGATAGATCTTAAAAGACTTTGTTAGAAAGTATTAAAATGACATTTTTTCATAGATTTAAATGATAACTTGACTCTTGATAGGACAAAATGGAGAAAAAGATCCCTGTAGCCAACCCCAAGTAGTGGAATAAAGGATTGTTGTTGTTGTTGTGTGGAAACGACGAAAATGGGCTAGGATTAGGCAGTGGTTTTGATGAATTGGCAAGGATTAGATAACACATGCTTTTAATTTATATATATTTAATTGATATAAAATCAAACAAAAAAAACTCAAATAGACAAATAGATGTGAAAGGACCTCTCATACAATTTCTCATCCCTCTTTTGTTTTGATTTGAGTGCAAATTTGCATTTTGACTTCTTGAAGCAACACGGACAATGTGGTTGTTACTTCTAAGTAATTTTGATGTTCCAGACGCGTCAGCACAAACCAATTTTGAAAGAACGTTTAGATGGTTTTGCATGCCAGGCCTATAACCATCGTCTTCATTACATTCAATCAAGTCTAGTGCGAAAGGTGCTTTCCGGTATTTTCGACGCTCCAGGCGCATTGATGCAGCCTGTTTTGCGAACAAACAACGTTTAGTCGTTTGGGACATAGTCAAGACGATTCAAACTTGTTTCGTGTGACGTTGTGCCAAATTGGTTACCATTCTCATCGCACATAATTGTATCGATTGTGAAATACATATGGTGGTCAACAGCTCAAAGGAAAGAAAAATATGTAGTTAATCAAGTTTACTAAATGGAAATGCAAGCCAAAGATCAACTCCAGAATGTAGAAAAGAATAACGTTAAAGTAAGGTAAATGCATGCTAAAAGAAAAACCGCCCAGGTTCAAACATTAGTCCTTATAAAAATTGAAGGTTAACGGGCATTCACCATTTTTTTAAACTAAAAGCAACCATGAATTTGAATGAATTAATCAATTAGATAAGTTGATACAAGAACAACAAAATTTAGGTCAGAACTACCTGATCTCCATTCCATTGCTGGGTTGTCCAGAGTCCCTGTTCAGGTGTAAATAGACCTTGAACATTAGATGATGACGGAGATAAAACGGTTCTCTGATCATTTAAAGCGTTTTCTGAAGACAATGGTATCTCGCTCAATTGTTCTGAAGAACCATTTTGCTGTGAAAGAGAATATTTTTATGATCTTGAAATGAATCTTCAGCAACCACAGCAGTAGAATATGGACGATAATACCTACCTCATAGTTGTTGCTTGCAGATCTTAGTGGCAAGCTAGGGAAACTGAGATTTGATTTTGGATGATGATATCGGCATGCTGATTTGAATTTGCATTGTCCAGTTTTCATAAAAAACTGACACTCAGGCTTGCCAGGCCTTTGAGGGTATTCATCATGCTGTTGTGGCTCGCCACCACTGAATTCATATGCAGCATCCTTGGAAGCTAATTCTTGCTGATGGTTAATTATTTTTGTTTCTTGGGGATACAGTAGACTTGTGACAGCCTAGAAATCAAGAGAACAGAATTCGGCGCAAAATTCATGACAAAATTTTAAAATTTTCATTCAACTAGGAATATAAAATCAATACAACAGAGATCCAACCTACACAATTCTCTCGTTCTATACCCGCAAAACACCATTGCAGAAAGCTTTTTTTTTTTCAATTGTGAGGGCATAATCAGAAAGCAGTAAATTCTTATTAATAAAACGCAGCTAAATAGGTCACGCATTAAATAAAACTAATTTCACTGCCTAAAGTATTCTCGCTAGCTCTGGATCTCTGATTGGCTGACAGTTGAAGGCATGAAAGGGCCAGCCAAGCTTCAGATCACCCATCAATCCCAAGAACTGATCTTTCATAAAAAATCACGCATGAGAGATCATAAAAATCTAAGTCGAGCATGATGGCGTGAGAATACCAAGATGTATGTGATACAAAGCTATACAAGATAAAAGAATCAGTTGGAGTTACATCAGTTGAAGTTAAATAATTGAAAATAGAACTAGATAATTTGAAAATGAATAATAGAAGATTAAAATTACACCCATTACTAAGGTTAATGATGATTATGATCATGATGATGGGATCATAAAATTATCTAGTCATGCTAAGTTACATCGAAAAGATAGAAGTGGTGAAGAGGACTTGTCACCATGTATTACATGAAATTACCGAAGGAATTGGTGGCAGGCTTTCAAGGCCTTGCTATCTATTTTATTCAAATTCCATGGGTAGCTCATTTGGCTGTCAAGATCAAATCGAATTCATAATCTTCATGTTGTTTCTTGACATTCAAATTAGATGGAGTTCTTCTAAATTCAAATCATGTATGCATTAATCATGCAGAAACCATATTCAAGTTCTAATACACATTATAGTAACGTATTCCAACATTAGTGATAAGGTAATTATCTGTAGTAACATCTTGCTTCTTTTTTAAGAGCAGAAGTCTCTCCAGCATGGTGAGCAAACTGCCTGAAGTCGAAATTGTCAGCCATGGCTCTTTAAGGAAGAGCACTTCCATAGCCAGCACAAAAAAGTGCGAACAATGATATTATCTAATCTAGTGGCCGGGTAGCATAAGCCAATCAAATTACTTAGTTCAAAAGGATAAAACAGAAATGTGTTAAAATATGAAAATAAATATCTCTATCCAACTCATACAAGTTTTCCGCTTACTGCTCTACACCTATCTCCTATAAATTTGTTAACCACCATCATTTACCTAACATTTACCTAATATCTATATTATCAAACCTATCACCATCCACCTGATAATTCAAACTTGCCACATACCAACTCTAAGCTCTATATACTTATATAGTTCCATTGTAACGAAGCATCCCACAACCACAAGGAAATAGAACGCAGATGAAGAGAGGGCATAAGATTTCAACCATAGTATGGAGAATGCAGTAGAGGACAAGAGAGAGAGAGAGAGAGAGAGAGAAAGCTCTCGCAGCAAAGAAGGGAAGATAGTAATAGTAGTAGCCATGGGCGGATTCCGCATGTGCTCAAAGTGGGCAAATGCCCACCCTCAAAAAAATTAAATTAAATATTTAGAGGGGATATTTTAGAATATTTTGGATATTTCTCCCCCCCCCCTCAAAATTTTTTTTGCTCTAATTTTATCAATCCTAAGCATCTATGCCCCTCCCAAAAAAAAAAAAAAAATGCCTACCATGAAAAAAGAAGCTGGATCCGTCCCTGGTAGCAACAACAACACCTTCGCATTGAGCCTTAGTTTTCGCAATAGGTGGTTATGCTTTCTCTCAAACATTGACATAGAGAAATTGATATCACAGTCATTATATTCTTATACACAAAAGAAATCTAAGATGTACTGTTATTTTAAAGCTTCAATGGACTATTTGACCTTTGTGCAGTTGTCGGTGTGAGTGAAAACCACTGAATCACATAAACTTACATCTTTGGTGATTGTGATCTCTATCGTGTTCATTATTCACCTTCATTTGATTTTACCGGAAGAAAGTCAAGTCCAATATATATTGGACCATTTAAAATCTTTGAAAGAATTGGAAAAGTTGACTATCATTTGGCATTAGCAACCAATATTTTTGATCTGCATAATGTGCTTCATATATCTATGCTCAAAAAATGGGTGACTGATGAACAACAAAAGATTCCACAAGAGGACATTGAGGTGCGAGGTGATCAAACATTTTCAAAGGAGCTAAAGAAGTCTTAGAGTTTGATGTTCGTGAATTGGGGAGTAGAACTATTCCATATGTCTAAGGTAAAATGGAAACATAAATCATTGAAGGAGGCTACCTAGGAGAGAGAAGTGAATATGAGGTAGACTTTTCCTCACTTGTTTGAAAAAGTATGATGCAATGAATTTCAGGGACAAAAATCTAATGAGGGAAGAATTGGGAAACCCATATTTGATCAGATATATGTCACATTTAACTCGATTTAAAAATACCCCATAATCTCCACCTTCATGAAATTTAACCAATTTAATATCATTGTGTTCTACTCATTGAATAGAGTAATTTGATATAAAGATCGATAAATTGAATTGCAAAGAATTGGAAGTTAGGGAATTAAATCTCATTTGCATTTTTTCCTATATTAATAAAATAGATTCACTATTTTATTATACAAACTACTGCAACGGATTATGGAGCTAATCGCGACAGGTAAGTGGATTGGTCAGGTGATATAGGTGGATGTGGATACAACTGGCCGTCTGTGGGCAGGTCAATGAGATGAGGGAAAGCTTAGTGAGAAAAGAAGAGGATAGGGAAATGTTTTATTGGTTGTTTTTGAATGGATGGGGAGAAGAGGTGAAGATAGTCGAGTGAGGGTGATTGTAAGAAAGTTGTTTATTTATTTATTTCTTCTTAATTTTAGTGTATACATTGATCATTAGTTGGTATGTATTCAAGATATAGTAGTTTAGGGAGATTCGGAGGAAAACTCAAGTAGTATATGCGAAGGAAAAATTTGAAGATGTGTAATTGAGAATAGATTTAATTGTATGAAATGTGTGATAAATTGTGAATTGTTAATTAATGATTTGAGTTGGTTTAGGTGCCATATGCTCGTTGGTAAACATGAGGGAATTGACTAGGTGAGTCAGCGTGCCAAGTAAGATATGCGCTTTTATTATAGTATGCAAGTTGATTGAATATTATCTATAGACATGCATTTGAATTAGTTTTGGGTGACATATGTCTTCGTACTCTTACTTGTAGGGATTAGCCCGACATTATGATACATGCAATCATTCCTCATAGAATTTCTTGTAATAGGTGAGCTCGTTGTATGACGATGTTACGTACAATTCGGACATATGATGATTCATACAGTCACATATGCTCATATGCTAATACGCCCGATAACTATATCAATCTACAGACATGTGCATATTTATATAGTCAAGTGTCAAATCCCCCAAACAATAAAATGCTATGATCAGATAAGCTTAAGAAAATGTCATGTTAGGTGATAGGTGCATAGGGCAATGTGACCCTGATGGGCAAAGCGACCCAGTAGAAGCAGTGCATCCTCAATATGATATTAAGCTTACGGGCGTTAGAGGCAGTGCAACCTATAGAGGCAATGCGACCTTAGGAGCCTATGGGCTGTAGGAACCTACACATCTAGACATGACACATTCAGAGGCTAGAAAATAAATTTATGAAATAAACTGAAATTTAATCATGCTTGCCTATGGTAATGTATGATGCACGTATGAGAAAACAACTGACAAGAAAGGGTTGACAAACCATATCTTTTTTTTTATTAAAGTTAACTAGTTAATGGAATGATATTAATATAACACTCTGCATAACTCTTATGTATAGTAGTGTTTTCACATGTTAAACAATTAATGATTTCCTACCGTATTTCTTACATTCACTTGTTCATGCACTTGGAAGTCTTACATTTTCTATACTTGACTACTTTATTAGAGTTCCATATCTTTATGGGCGTTATAGCTCATCAGATGAATTATTCCGGCTGTTGCAGCAAAGTAGAAGAAGAAGGTTGAACCAGAATAGTGTTAGGTTCAATTTCTATTGTGTTTACCTTTGTTAATGAGAGGGCCTGGTTAGTAGAATGTTCATAGCTACATATTTCAGGTTCCCATGTAGTTGCCCTATAAATAAAAAATTTTGAAAATAAAATTTTGGTCAGCTCCCGCTTTTGAATGATGATTAACTTATGATATTTTATTGTTCTTCCTTCAGATGACATGATTATATTTTTTAAATAAAGCTTAAAATAAAGCAATTAAGGGGTGTGGCAAGCTCTATGGACATCAATGTGATAACCTCAATTATTGTATGATTAAAGCCTTACTAATAACATGTATATGATCTATAAGAAAATTCTTGAATGCATAAAATTTTTGTTGGGAGCACCACGACGTAGTGCATGCGAGTGCGGTGGTGTTGATCTTCTGCATATGACGTTCTGGTGGTGAGAACACAACTGCACTGTGGCGCCATCTCATATGTTGTACAGTAACTTGAGGGAGTGCTGTAGTTTTGAGCACTATAGTGCTAGCACGATCAAAATACTTTTTTATATAAAAATATCTTAACTTATTCTGAGCACTATAGAAATAGGCTTGTGTGTGAAAGCAAAAAAAAGGTTGGTTGAAAATCATTGACTAATTCAAGTTTATTGGAGATGTGTTATCCACTACAGGAGGGTGGGCCGACAAGCTTTTCTTTAACTAAAATTTATTTCTTTAAATAAAATCTATGGTGTAATCCTAAATGATATGAAAATGAACATATAAGAAGAATAATTTATATGATATTATATGCTGACTGGCAGGAAGTGATGACTTCTTACATGAAAGCCACCTGACTTGTGATTGAGACTAATATGATTGATTCCTATTTATAGGACTGATATGATTGAGACTGATTCATGTAGCATTTGCCTACAAAAGTTGATACAAAAAAAAACACCACTTCATCTAAATATTCTGCCTTGGTTGCAATGTGACATGCATATATGATAGAATTATATATGTAATTATGTATTGATATAATAGAGCATGACATGATGAGTGTATAAATAACATGATATGACATTAATAGGATAGAATATGACTGATGCAAGTTCATGATAAGAATAATAAGATTGATACAAGAGCACATGATTACACATAATACATAACATTTTATAGGTGTTATATATGAACATAATATACATATATTGATACTATGCAATAAACATGGAATAAATATATGATATGGCATAGAGATAAAACAAAGGCATAAAGTATAAACATGCAATCATAGATTCAAGATTTCACCTTTTATATTGCACTGACACGGGTATAGAAATGACAGAATGCAATGATCCTTTGTATAGTTATTGATCACTTATACTTAATTAGACTTATTTCTATTGTTCACATGAATTAATGTTGCTCATATCGACTGCCAAGTGTTCTTAGTATTACATGTTCATATTGACATAATGAATAATTACATGCATATTATTTATATAGTCATGCATTGATTATACTTATAGGTTCAAGTAACATATTGGGCTGTTAGCTCACTCCATAGTTTACATGTTTTTCAAGAAAGGGTAACAACCCAATAGAGTAAGATTGATCCAAGTTGTTGCAGTTATAAATATTTTATTTTATTGCTCATTTTTTATACCAAAAATATTTTGTTTAGACTGGTGTAATAGGAATTTTTTGCCTATTTATATGGTTTTGATGTTTATAAAGTGAAATTAAATGTCATGTTCTGCAGCTTTACTTTATATGAATGATTAGTGACTTTGATTAGAAACTAGAAGAAAAAACATATAATTCTTCCAAATTAAATCTTGGAGAAAACAATCAACTTTGATAAATACATTCATGTCTAGAGTTTACTCTCTTTGCACCCTAAAAGTTGGAATACTTTAGCTATAGCCATCAGCAATTCCTATGGATCAAGCAAATCGAAATTAAATAATGTCTGAGGCATTCTCCTCAGTGAAAATATCAGACGGTGTGAGACAGCTGAAACCCCTTCTTCTACTTCAAATATTGATAATAGAAGCAAGTCTCAAAAAAAAAAAAAAAAAAAAAAAAAAAAAATCAAGACAAAGGCTAAAACAAATCCAAATCACGAAAAAAAGAGTGAATACACATTATAAAAGAACTTAATCTCAAGGACACCTGAGTGGATGTTGACACTGTGGAAAGCTAGCGGATATGATAAAAGACTGTCACAAAAAAGCTGGAAAAAAAAAAACAAAAGAAGAAAAAATGCTTCTACAAAAAAAAAATTCAAAATGCATGAATCCTTAGTGTTGAATGTCCAATCGAATCACGTATATTAGAACATTCCATTCTTCTTCTCATAAAGAACTAATAATAAGTTACCATGCAAATAATAATGGCAAATACTTCTTGCTAGCAATAAGCGCTTAGATATTGTGACAAATGGAGATGTGATACTCTAAAATCATAAATGAAGTCACAAGGAAACTGAATAAGGTCAAGCACATTCTAACCAGAGGAAAAACTTAATTTCTATAGAATAACTAGCAAAAGGATGTAATGTCATGTTCAATGCTGACATCTAGAAGGTCACCAAAGGAGCAATGATGATTGTCCAAGAAAATAAGATTGGTACACTCTACACGTTCTAAAGTACATGAACACTAGGAGTTATAACATGTTCAATTAAAAATACTAATGCTTGATATCAAAAGTTAGGCTATATTGGTAAAAAGGGTCTAAAAATTCTTCATTCTCAATGTAAATTTTAAGATTTAAAATATACTGAATTTTAGCTTTATGAAATTCTCATTTTTTGGAAAGCAAAGGATCAATCTTTTATAAATTGGAAAAAAGCTTAAAATCAAGAAGCTAGGTTTGGTTCACACGGATGTCTGAGGACTATCCCCCATTCTATTCTAGGTGGCCCGATGCATTAAATCATGTTCATGGACAACTAAACTAAAAAAGTATGGGCTATTTAATCAAAAATAAATATGATGTGTTTAATAACTTTGTAAGATGAAAAGGCTTAGTTGAAAATTAGAGTGGTGCAAATATTAAATATTTACAATCTGAAAATCATGGAGAGTGTGATGGCCTAGAGTTCAAAAATGATTGTTCTGTTAATGGAATATGTATGAAGACAATGATCCCAAGATCTTTTGTAGTCACTGAAATAATAAACAGGACTTTTAAGTGAATGGTCTGAAAGCAAGAGACTACATGTATGATTGCCAAAAAATATTTTAGGGTGATGTAGTAAATAATAGTATACCTCAATAAGCGAGGCCAATATGTAGCTCTTGATTTTAGGCTTCCTAAGGAAGCATCGGAAACAAAAGAAGTTGTCTCTCATTTTTGAAAGTTTTCAATTATCTTTCTTACGTGCACATAGATAATAATAAAATAGATGTGCTTAGCCCTGGAAATGCATACAAAAGATTGAAAACTGAATTTTTTTAGAAATCTAGAGATAAGTAAAACAGCCTCCACCATGAAATAGACACTCAATGCTCATATCTTACTCAAATTTTCTCATATCTGCTTAGATTTGCGTTATGAGACTCAAAATTACTTTAAATTATAGAACACAACTGATAGAATTTGTAGGTCGTGTTTGGCTTGAAGGGAAGAAAAATCTGTAGGTAATCGAGTTCACCAAATGGCAATATGCATGGAAAAGAACTCCAGAATGTCGAAAAGATTAATGACAAAGAAAGGTAAATGTATGTTAAAGGCAAAGAACGCCCTGGTTCTGACATTATTTCCTAAGAAAATTGAAGGTTAACAGTCATTCACCATTTGCTTAAACTATAACAAACCATGAGCTTGAATGAATTAAACAAATAGGCAAGCTGATCCAAGAAATGTAAAATTCAGGTCAAAACTACCTGATCAACATTCCATTGTACATTTGGTTGGATTCCCTGGATAGGTGTAAACAAACTTTGAACATCCGATGATGACGGACATAAAAAAGCTCTCTGATCATTTGAAGCATCTTCTGAAGACAATGGTACCTCACATATTTGTTCTACAGGACCATCTTGCTGCGAGGAGACTATTTTTATGATCTAGAAATGAATCTTCATCAAGTACAGCAGTAGAATCTAGATGATAATACCTACCTTACAGTCGTTGCTAGCAGGTCTCAGTGGCAAGCCCAGGAAACTAAGATTTGATTTCGGATGATGATATCGGCATGTTGCTTTGAATTTGCAGTATCCAGTTTTCATAAAATACTGACACTCAGGCTTGCCAGGCCTTTGAGGGTATGCATCATACTGTTGTGGCTCTCCACCACTGAATTCATATGCAGGATCCCTTTTAACAAATTCTTGCTGCTGGTCAACTATCTTTATTTCTGAAGGATGCAATAGATTTGTGACAGACTAGAAAACAAGGGGACAGAATTCAGCAAAGAATGGCAGGACAAAAATTTACAATTAATTTCATCAAATGCTTCAAAATCATTTAAAAAATCGATTTTGATTTAACAGGAATGAAAAATCAAATGAACAGAGATCCAAACTACAGCATTTTATTGCTCTCTGTTTTATTCAAATTTCATGAGGTAGCCCATTAGGCTGTCAGGATCAATCGAATTCATCATCTTCATGTTCTTTTCCAGGCATTCAAATTAGGCTCTTCTAAATTCAAACTCATGTATATGCATTAATCATACAGAAACCATACTCGAAACCTTCTAATACACATTAGATTAATATATTCCTATATTAATGATAAGGTGATTAAATATATTAACATCTTACTATTAACTGATGCTGTTTGTAGGCAGGAGAATAAGGCTTCGTTTAGGACGGTTTTTTTATTGTTTCTTAAAGCAGCTTTCTAGTACAAAATTTTTAATTTTTGTATTAGAAAGCTGCTTTAAGAAGCATTAAAAAAGTTGTCCAAAGGAAGCTTAAGTATCCCTGGCATGGTGAGTATATTGAATAGTTTGTGATGGTAAAGTAGTTGTCGCCTATCTATGACATCAATCGGGAAGAACACTTCTACAGACAACATAAAAGAAATAGTGAACAAGGAAATATCCATTATACTTGGCTGAGTAGCGTAAGACAAATAAATTACTTGAGTTCTAAAAGAATAAAAAGAAAGGTGTTAGGATATTTAGATAATTTTTTTTATCTAACCCATAAAAGGTTTCTGCCTACTACCCTCAATCTAACTCCTATCCTTAACCTACAATATTATGATACCTACTACTATCTAGTATTCATCTAATAAATTCAAACTTGCTACCTGCCACCTCAAAGCTCTACATAAAAAGATGGCTCCATTATATTGAAGCATCCCACAATCATAAATAAATAGAAAGAAGATGGAGGGACAGAGGACAGATGCAGAGTAGCCTAAGATTTCAAACATAGCAGAAATAAATTTTTTTAATAAAGGAGAGAAGATATGACATGGTTAACCGTTAACTAACTTTCTTATTTTAGTCTTTTTTTTTCCTCATTCTTTTTTTATCTCTTCTTAACATTTTCTTCTATAGCGGTTTTTTAGTAATTACTTTATTTGTGGGAAAGAGGTTTTTTGAGAGTTAGTTTTCAGGTTATCCTAAGGTTAGGGTGGATTCCCTAGTTTTAGGTGAGGTAGGTAGTGAGGATAACCATAGTGGAGTTCAAGCCTTTGCCAGGATAGATTGCCAAGATCTCCTAGCCCTCCATTGTAGCAGTTTTTCTCCTTAAGAAAGCTTTGTCCCTACAACTAAACAACGCTAGGTTTGTTCTTAAAGGAAGCAGTGCTCGGCCCATAGTTCTGGACCGAATCCAACATGCCGAACAAATGTACAGGGCATTAAGTCGGAATTTTCAATTGCAATCTGACGTGCGATCATCCAGATGATCCATCTGGTTGGAGACAAACTGCTCATGATTCATGAAGGCCTCCATACCAGGTTCTCTGCTTCCACCGTCGATAACATTAAATTATTTTCCTGTGAACAGCCATCTATCGAGTGGTGTCCCTTTCACTTCTTGCAGGTGACAGAATTGGGACATTTTGTGGATTGGTGCTGCCGAATTTTGGGGATCATCCCGTTCTCAAACACAAGTATTCCAGAAACCATAATCAGTATTTGGGTCTTTTCAGCCGTCGGTGGAGAGCTTCTTGTTGGAACCGAACATAATGTGGGAACCTGATAGAAATGTTCAGGTGGCTGTGGCATAGGCAAATGCTCCTTCCACTTCCGACCAAGGTCTAGTCTAAGTAAGAATTGAGGGCTGCAGCTGATTTGTGGGAATATTGTGGGTTACGATTTTCTTTCCCTTTCGTTTGAAGTTGGAATTGTTGGTGATTATAAAATAGTTGAGTTGAGTCATGAGGAGGTTGTGATAGCAAAAAATTTATGTCCAACATTTTCTACTCCTTTCAGTTCGGTATCAAGATAGGAAGAAGCTTCCAAAGGAAGATAGTAATAAAAACATCAAAACCATCTTCTCTTGTTTTCGCAACAGGTGACTGCGTTTGCTCTATAATTAACATAGAAAAAGTGGTATCCCTATCCTTTTCTTATTATATATAAAAGAAATATTTGATGCACTCTTATTTTAAAGCTTGTTAGAATATTTGACTTCGTGAAACTGTGGACGTAGATGAATATCAACGAACCATATGAACATATGTGTCTGAGTGATTGTGATATTTGGTGCATTGCTTCTTCATTTTCATTTGAATTTGCACAAAATTTTATCACTATTCTAACAACTAGTATAAAAACTTCTAATTAATCTCCACATACATTTGGGTAATGGACAATAGAAATGCCAAGATTGATAAATTTGATGGCCGAGATTTCAGCTATTTAGAGATAAAAATAGAAGATTATTTTAATCAAAGAGATCAATCGTTCAAAGGATCGATGCGTCTACTATTATTTAAGATGAGTAGGAGTTGATGGATAGGAAAGCATATTGGGACTTATTCGTCAATCCCTAACCAAGAATGCTGCCTTCATCCTTCTCGATGGAAAGACAACAACATATACGATAAAGGGATTATCAGACGTGTAAGAAAAGCCTTTTGCAGTTAATAAGCTACATCATATATGCAAAAATTTTAATCTCAGGATTTCAAAATGAGCCTCTATTGCTAAGCATATCAACGAGTTCAACTAGATCGCAAGTCAGTTGATCTCTATGGACATCAACCTGATATCAAATTCATGCATTGAGTTTACGTTTGTAGCTCCTTGAGAGTTGGAATAGTATAATAATAGAGAAAATGATCAAAATAGTCCGTTGACTTTTTGGGAGGGACCAAAATAGTCTCCAACTATTTTGAGGGACCAAATTGGTCCCTCAACTCTTTAAAATGTATCCATTTTGTTCCTGCCATTAAAAATAATAAAAAATTCGGATGGTTGCGAGGGTATTATGGGAATAATCACAAAAACAATAATAAGGAAAAAGGGAGCGGTAACCTTCACAACGAGCAAGCTCCCGTCACTACATTCGATCCAACAAAAAGAACGACGAACTTTCGCGGCTTTTGATTCCAGAGGAAGGAGCATCGTTGAATGAGGCGAAGAAGGCTATAGTGACTCGTTGAAAACCCTCCCGTCACTACGTCCGATCCAACAGAAAAAATGTCAAACTTTAGCGAATTTCAATTTGACTAGGAGAGTTGTCGAAGGAGGCGAAGAAAGGCTTTAGCGACTCGTTCCAAACCCTACCTCATGCAAAGCACATAAAGTCCAACGGGAATGAAGAATGCGGAAGAGAAGAAAGAGAAGCAAATTGTTAAGGAATTAATTTATGCAATTTAATTAATATAAATTAATAAATTTTTAAAAATAATTAGTTAATTAATAATGAAAATAATAATTAGATAATTAATATTTTAAATAATAATTAGATAATTATTCAAAATAATAACATTAGTTATATAAACATTTAAGTTATTAATATTTATAATATTAATTAGATAATTAAGCTAGTTAATATCCCTAAGCTATTATTAGTTAAGTTATATAATTAATATATGACTAAAGTTTTTAAAATTATAACTAAAAATAATTTAATTTCTCTTATTAAACAATAGATTACTTTTTTTTTTTGAAAAATTATAATTACTCAAAAATTATATCTAATAAATAGTTTAATTAAAAAATTACTAAAATACCCCTATTATTAACACCATTAAATCCAACATCCATTAATTTGAATGTTAGGAGAGGGTCAAAATAGTTGGGAACCATTTTGATCCATTCTGAATAGTTAATAGACCATTTTGATTCTTTTCTTTATAATAATAGCAACTCTTAATTAAAATACTCTCTCATTATCAGGAGAAATAATTAATCTTATGGAATTAGGCCTATGAAAAAACTTGGATGTGATCTTAAAGTCATTGAAAAATAAGAGCAAAATTTCTTGGTAGTATCTTATCTCAAACCTATCTGTTTTCAAAAATTTTGACCCAAAATTTACCTTAAAACTCTCCCACGCAGAGAGACGGGTACAGAATTTTAGGGCCCCACAGTCAAGGGATTTAAAGAGAACTAAGAGTTATAAGAAAGGCGCACTGTAGTTGTTTGGAAAGCTTAAATAGTCAAAACCTTATCTGGTTGAGAGGATTACAAGACACCAAGTGCTACGAGAAGGGTGCCACATGCAAGCAAGCAATCTGACACGTGCTACACTATGGAAAGGGAGGTGTGATGCATGTTGAGATCACAAGCTTTAGAGGAGATTTGCAGAAATCATTACTTGGAAAAGAAGATCGTCAGCGGTTTGGCTTTAATAATCAGTGGGCAACATTTTCAAGGCAGATGAGACGGTTTCAGATTTGTAGAGCTATTTAGGACAGTGGTCCAAGTAGAATAAAAAGTTGAGAACACACAGAAAAAAAAAAAGTTGAGAACACAAAGAAATGTTCAAGTTTGCCTCAAGGAGGGTTTAGAATGGTAGAATAATTATGCATGCCTACAGAAGTATGGGCAAGTTCAAAGGAACATAAGGGAATCATCTGCTGATGTGGCTTGTGAAGTCCCTCAAGTTGAATTGGTAAATGCTGAGAAGTTCATTTGGTCAAAAGTATTTGACAAATAAGTTAGGATACTGGGTAGGTCGCACTATGACGGGGGGAAACATCTATAACAGAGATCATATCCCAAAGTTGAATATGAATTTGATTACAATTGACGCAAAAAGTTTAACATAAATTTACACGTAATCCTTCACTGTGTTTGAGCTTTAAATCAGCAAATTATTAGACCGGTCCAGCCAGTCCATACAAGACTGGCCTACGAACAGAGGCGGAACTCACCGCCTCCTACATATGTTGCACAATATGACGACCAGACAGAGCAGTTCAGGAAGGTTTTTGAAGGGAATTAGGAGGGAGATTTGAATGTAGGGATTGTTTAGAGATTTCCTTTTAGATTGTATGCATTAAATAGTTTGTTTTCCTAGGGTTAGGGCATCTTGAATTTTGTCTGAATTTTGAGATCTCTTAGGTTTAGATTTTTGGGCTCTAGCGGCGTCTAGAGATTTGGGAGAGATAGATCCTCCTCTCGAGTAGAGGATCAATTGTATCTTGCTATTTTCTTCCAATAGTTTGTGTTCTAGCAATATAATTCCTATTTTTCTCTGATTTTCCATTGGATTTGTGAAAATTTCTCGTTGTTTTCCCGAGGTTGATAGGATTTACTTGAAATCTTCAAGTATTTCCTAACAAATTGGTATCAGAGCAATTTCCTGGCCAGAAATCAAAGCCTCCTCGCTAATTTCTGCTATGTTTTAATCGTTGATCTTCTGTTTTTTGTTGTTTGAATATCATAAACTGCTATTTTTTTTTTGGCCGTTTTTGCTATTTGAAGCCATGATCCAAGTACCGATGGCAGGGAAAAAGGTAACGTGTTGGAGGGGGAGATTGGACAAATGAAATCTAAAATTTCAGATCTCCAAACTCAAGTTTCAGATTAAAAAAAAAAGATATTTCAATCATCCATGATAAGATCATATCGAAATTTTCCATCCTGGAAGAGATGTTAAAGAAAGTGCTCGAGGGTCAAACCAAAATATCCCCGTTCGAGGTGAAGGAAGGCGACGACAGCCTGAGAAGTGGGAAAAATCCTAAGCCAATCAGATGAAAGGAAGATCAAAATGCGGAGATTTTGGAGGAATAAAAAAAATGCCTCCCCTAGGCCCTATTCCTAGGGATGAGACATGTAGAGGGTATGTGGAGAGACGTGAGGGGGTTGGGTTTGAGTGGAGGGGTGATGAATTTGAAAGAAGAGGGGATGAATTTGATAGTCGAGGACTTGATTATGATCAAAGAGATGTCGAATTTGAAAGGAGAAGGGCTGAGTATGAACAAATGGGTGTTGAATTTGAAGCGGGAAGGTGGGCTTGTGATGAACGGCTTGGGTGTGAGCCGAGGGATGATTGGCACAATTGGGGGGAACCACCCCCTTGGGAAATGTGAAATTTTGGAGGAATCACAGTTGACAAAGGAGATTTGAGAGTGAGAAAATTGAAGATGCCTATTTTTGATAAAGAAAATGCGCACATGTGGATCTACAAGGTATAAAGATATTTCTTCATCAACAAGTTGACGGAGGAGGAGAGACTGACTGCAGCAGACCTATTTGGACGATAAGGCTTTGGCTTGGTACCAATGGAGGGACATACGACGACCCATACAGAGTTGGATAGAGTTCAAGGATTGTTTGGTAGAACCTTTCAAAACTGGCAGGGGAGGAGACTTCTATAAGCAGTTCTTTGCCCTGACACATAATGGTTCAGTGATGGATTACCGAGAGAGATTCGAGTACCTTGCTAGCCGATTAGACCGCCTTCTTGAGACAATGCTAGAGGGAAATTTCATTAAGGGATTGACACTAGATATTCGAGCAGTAGTTAGAGTGATGAGGCCTTGTGACTTAGGAGAGTCTATGGAGCTAGCTTAGTTGGTGGAGGATCAGAGGCACCTAGAGAGAGGAATGGGAGGCAGCAGCTCAAGAGGTGCGTACAGGATGATCACAACCTGATTGGCATCCAAGGAGACAACACCAGATATTCTTTGAGAGACTTCGAAGGAAAAGTCTGTAGGAAAAAGACCTAAGGACAACTTCAAGAAGCTCACAGAAACAGAATTACAAGAGAAGAGGGTGAAGGGGCTCTATTTTAGATGTGACGAGAGGTATACGCCAGGGTGCAGATGTAAGGGCCGAACTCTTCAGGTTCTTACCATTTGTGATGACGAGGGAATGGAGGAGGGTGTCGCCTTTCCACCTTGCGGACAAGGTGGATTTTTGAGAGGGGAGTGTTGTTAGACCGATCCAGCTGGTCCATACGGGACCGGTCTACGAACAGAGGCGGAACTCTCCGCCTCCTGCATATGCTACGCGATCCAACACCCAGACATAGCGGTTTAGGAAGGTTTTTGAAGGGAGTTAGGAGGGAAATTTAAATGTACGGACTATTTAGAGATTTCCTTTTGGATTTTATGCATTAAATAGTTTATTTCCTAGGGTTGGGGAATCTTGAATTTGGCTTAAATTTGAGATTTCTTAGGTTTAAGTTTTTTGGCTCTAGCGGCGTCTAGAGATTTGGGATAGATAGATCCTCCTCTCAAATAGAGGATCAATTGTATCTTGTTATTTTCTTCCGATAGTTTGTTTTCTTGCAATAAAATTCCTGTTTTCCTCTGATTTTCTATTGGATTTGTGGAAATTTCTCGTTGTTTTCCCGAGATTGATAGGAATTACTTGAAAACTTCAAGTATTTCATAACACAAACCCTCCAAAGTATACTTGCACAGTTGCACTTATGAAATCCATACCTAATCTAAAAAATAGTTATGAATTATTACAAGGACTTTCAGACCTTAATTTATTGCTAAAAAGACCACAATGCTAGACATAGAAGGCTTAGGATGTAGGCTCCCAATTCCATGCTAACCAATCTAGTGAGATGCATTATCGACCACTTGAACAGGCACAGATTTTAATGGAAGTACCCAACGCATCCCTTGCATGATATTGCAATCCATAAGAACCATACCTCCTAATGCAAGCACCCAAGGAGGCTTGATAAATTAATAAGATCTGCCATAGGGGTGTCAATATTTGACACAACACGACAACCCGACCCGGACCCGACCCGGAAAATCCGGTCCGGGTTGGAATGTCTGACCCGTTTGCAAAAACGGGTCGGGTTCGGGTTGACCTGTTTATATATGGGTCGGGTCGGGTTCGACCCGAATTGACACCCCTAATCTGCCACATATATCATTACCATCTATGTATATGCATTAATCTGGATGTAAGCATGATTCTATAGGACCAGGTAAATTGAAGGCATCAAGTAGTCAACAATGAGACCAAAAGGGCAAGACCAAAAGAATGACAAAAAAAAAGAAATAAATTTAGTAAAATTCGGCGGTGCAAAAAAAAAGGAAATTTAGAGATTCCACGAGTGGAATAAGAATTATGGCCTTGAATCACAAGATGAGTAAGAATAATGTGAATTAACTAAAATCATGTGCGTTTTGGACTGCTTTACAGAAGTTTGCCATAGATCCCTTCTTGCACAAGCCACCTAGCTTCCAAGCAAACATAAAAAAAAGATGCTGGTGCAACCAGTACTAAACCTTCCTGAACCCTTTACCCCTTATCATGGTATTGGTGTCAAGATAATAGCATCGGCTATCTCAACTTCCAACATTTTTTCTGGTCTTATATGAAGGTCAACCACAGTATAGGAATAGGTTCTACTTTTCTTCCACTCAATTTTCTCACAAGATCAACTCGAAAAAATAATTTTTCCACATGGATTTGTTAGTTTGTGTGGTTGGAAGCCGTGGGACACTGATGAATACAAATTTTGCTTTACCTGGTTGGTTCAATTTTCAACAAAATGAACATTTTCAATAAGTTTCTGTATGCGCCTAAACCTTGCCCTTTTATAAAACTCAATTTCATCTTAAGTGTTCCATATTTTCCAAAACGATCAGGACATCTTAATCCATCATAAATCATTAATAGCCCTTGCTGTCATTATTCCGTTGGTAGATCATATGCTCAATATAAGTTTTACCCATGCTGTCCACCGCTTTGTTCAATATTTCTATAGCCAAGACATCCACAACATTGCACGTCGAGCTGCTGCCGTGCAAAGTTTGAACCAGTCCAAAGGCCATTATGTTTAGACAATTGTTTGCCAACTTTAAATAACTTCTATAAATAAAATAACCATTATATGTCTGTATACCACGTCATAAAGACATCTTCACATAATTCGAATTTTCTTTATAGTTTTAAACTTTTGAAGCTGTACAGCAGTTCTATTTCTTTTTCGATCAAAGAAAGGTTGCCAAAGCAGAATAAACTGAAAAGGCATAAAAAGGATTGAAAACAAATATTTCAAATATCTAGCATAACTAAATAGCATTGACCATGAAATAACCAATTTTTATTAATATCTTACTCAAATTTTCCAATATATTTTAAATTTGCATTATCCAGCATATAATTATATATAACACAACAGATTAAATTGTTTCTTTATTGATTAGCTTAAATGGAATAAAAATCAGTAGCTCATCAAAATCATTATTCACAGGCACAGGTAAGCTCAGAGAAAAAACGTGCACAGGTTTTGGCATTATTTCTTAGAAATTTTGAAGGGTGAAAGTTCATCTCCATTTTCTTAAGCTAAAAGAAATGAAGAACTTGAATTAATTAATTAGATAAGAAAAAGTTTTAAATGATCTTGTACAATTTATATGGAATCATTTTAATCTCAGCTATCTAATGTGTTCAATTTAGACTTCGTTTGACACGACTTTTTTATTGTTTTTTAAGACAGAATTTTCGTAAAACTATGATCAAAAAGTCATCCCAAACAAAAACTTAATCTCTTAACTTCTCAACTATGATAAAAAAGAGTCCCTCTATTAGATTATTTTGGATCAAATTTGAATAGTCAAAGGATTAATTTGTATCAAACGAATTAAAAAAAATAAATTAGATATATTAGATAGTATGGGATGAAAATGGTCCTATAAATAGTCAGGGTCAGGGGACCATTTTGATTTTTTTTTTCTTAGTTAAATAGAAAAGCTGATCCATGAAAAAAAAAAATATCAGGTCAAAACTACCTGACTTCCATTCCATTGTGCGTTTGTCTTGAGTCCATGGCTAGGTGTGAATAGGTCTGGAACATAAGATGATGACGGGCCTAAAAAGGCTGTTTGTTCTTTTGAAGTGTTTTCTGAGGGCAATGGTGTCTCACGCAATTGCTGAGAAGACTGCATTTTTATGAACTTGAAATTAATCTTCACCAACAATAGCAATAGCAACTAGATGATGAAACCAACTTGATAGTTTTTACTTACAGATCTTTGCGGCAGGCCAAGGAAACTGACATTTGATTTTGGATGATGATATCTGCATGCTGATTTGAACTTACAGTATCCAGTTTTCATAAAATACTGGCACTCAGGTTCACCGGGCCTTTGAGGGTATTCCTCTGCAGTATCTCTGTTAGCTAATATTTGTCTTTGGTCATTTATATTCATCTCTCGAGAATGTAATGGACTCGTGGTTGTCTAGAAAACAAAGGGGACAAAATTCAGCACAGAATGTCATTACAAAATTTTACAGATAATTTATAAACATTTTTTATTCATCAATGAATAAGAAATAAACTGAGCAGCGATAAATGCTAAAACCCACAAAACCCCTTGCAGAAACAAGCAAATTCTTATGCACTAAAGGCAACTAACAAGTAGTGCATTAATTACAAGTCCTTTCACCACCTTAAGACCACTAACACCGGTTCTATGATGTGCGATAATTTGAAGAAGACCTGAACGGACCAGCTGAAACTTCAGGCCACCCATCACATCATAATTAATGCGTTAGAAATCCTAAAAATCTAAGTTGAGCGCGGCAAAATGAGTATGTGAATAATATTCTGTTGCAAGACTAGAAATATAGAATTAAGAAATAATTAAATTAGATGAATAACTGAAGTGACATCTATTACAAATAAAGTAATTGAAAAGAGACTAAAGTGATATGGACATACAACAAAAAGGTATAAAATAAACTGATAAGATGTAAAATTAGGGTCAAATAAAAAGTAGAAGGGGTAGGTCTAAGGTAAGATGGTAGAAGTTGTTCGCAAAAGGATTTTCAAAAAATAAGTTTAACAACTCAAACGACATGTACAAGGAGCAAATGAACAAAGAGGATTAAGAAAGTCAACTATAAATAATTGGGAAAGCGCTAATGATGATGAGCTTAAAAAATATACAACTTTCTTATGTTACAGGGAAGAGATGAAAGTGTTAAAGTGGGATCCGTTAACTTCCATACATGAACCATAAGTTGTGAAGTTGCGAAGATGAAACTTTTGCCCTACGAAGAAAAAAAAGCCACGCAGATTTACCCAATATTTGTGTGTTATTAAGGGTGAGTATTTTCTTGTATTTTTGTCTGCCCAAGTTTTTCTTTTAGAAAAAGGGTGCTCTTCTTTATGCTGGATCAAAGGAATTATGATTGTAACTCTTCACAATTAAATCATAGTGCAACCTATAATAGGACAATATGACAAAGGCATCACTTGAATGAACATTTACAAATTTCAGAGTTATTGTGTGACAATTTTCTTTTCTATTTCAATCCATTTTTTACCTCGATATTTGAATTAAGTTTTGCTAATTTCCTAACTCTCAGTCAGATTAAATGCAATGACAATGAAGGGAAATACTTTCGTGAACGTGAAAAATCAACTTATGATGACTTAGTCACAAGAAAAAAACACTTAATCATCGCTCATTGAACAACATGAACCATCTAAAAGCAGATGAAACTAAGAGTGTAAGTGAATTAAACCAATTCGTGAGCCAGCTTGAGCATGGCTCTATAAATAGCTTGTGAGCCAAACTTAATGAGCTAACAAGCCAAGCTTAAATCAGCCCGAATCGACTTATTAACTCGTGAATAGGCTCATCTAAAAATATTACTATAAATACACTTAAAATATAATAGTATTCAAGAGCTCGTGCATAGCTAACAAAATTATTTAAAAATTATATCTCAATTTCTTATATCAAGTGATTCTTTAACTTCTAATTTCTCTTTTTTTTATTATAATAATTGTTTGAATAATAATCATTTCCTCTGTTTCAATATAAATGAGACGGCTTGTGAGCCGGCTCGAACTCGTAGAATTAAGCTCGAGCTCGAAGTCGATTAATTAATCAAGCTTAAGCTCAAGCTGGGGTGACTCGAGGTCGACTCAACTCGTCTACACCTCTAGCTGAAATAGAAAAACAATCCAAGAAGCCCCTCCCACCAACATATAAATGATAAACCCTAAACTGACCCAAGGATTTGTGTAATCATTAAAAAAAAAAGTTATTGCAATAAAAACAAAAAATACTTGGGGTTCTAATGGGGACATCAGAGCGTGGAAAGTCTATCAGAGACGTGGCCGTCGATCTACAACCATGATTGAGTCATTGTATTTCTGAGTTGTATTATGTATTTTCTTATTTATTATGTCATATTGTATTTGCTTTATTAGTTTTCCATTTTTACCCCTTACTTAAGGGAGGTTGTATGTAAGCTAGTGGACATTGTCGTCTTTTATTTTCTTGAGTCTTTGTACGAGGCTATATATAGTCCCATTATTCTCTTTTGATGTTAATGAATGATTGAAAGAAAACTTTTCACAAATCTTTTTAGTCTTGCCATAAGCTAAACAAAAATTTAATAAGGTATTAGCAATTGAAAAATCATAAGCTAAACAAAAATCCAATATAGTCTTGCCACCTTCATTCATCGTTCCAAATCCATGACCACCATGAATGCTTTTAAAATCATCTACCTCTCTACCAACATGTACATTTAAATCTCCTCCAATAAAAACTCTTTCTTCAAGAGGTATCT